GCACCCCCTGGGCAGGGTGCTGCTGGCTTCCACGAGCCTATGGGCACTCTGCGTCTGCTGGCCAAGCGTATTTTAGGACAGGTGAAGAAAGCAAATGAGTTCATGCCACCTTCCTCCTCTCCAGAGCGATAATTATTCATGGTTAAATAAAACCCCGCAGGTTGTGAGCAAGAAAAAAAAAACCCAAAAAACTGTGAATCCTGCTCCGTTTCCACACAGCATGGATGACGAAGTCAATGCCCCTACACGAAAACCAAAAATGCTTCCCCCTTTCAGATTGGTTCCAAACGTCCCCCTGCGGACACACGTACCGGACCACAGGCCAGTCACCAACCCAGGCACCGCACAGGGCATGTTACATTCACCTTCTCATTACAAACCCCTGGGGCCTCTGTGAGGCAGGAACTACCGTCCCCACTTTACAGACGGGAACACTGAGGCTCAGAGACGTGAAGTCGTGCAGAATCATGAGCTAAGAGAGCAGGACCTGGTGTTCAGCTCAGCTGCCTGGGATCCCAACTGGCTCTCGGTCATTTTTAATACCTTCCACATGATATTCATACCTTGGCTAATGGCTGCACCACCCTGACCTCTGGTTGGTTGTGTGTTCACGCTGCCTCCTTTTCTGTTTCTGTCAGACCTCCCTCTAAGTGTGGCTGTATTTAGAGCCCACCCGGGGAACCCAGGATAATCTCCCCATCTCCAGATCCCTTCATCACATCCGCAAAGACTCTTGTTCCAATAAAGGTCACGTTCGCAGGTCCCAGGGATTGGGAGGTGGGTCTCATCAGGGGGCGTCTTCCAGACTACCACACACATTTCACCCTTCCTTCCTCAACTTATTCCCTCACAGACCCTGCCTGTGTGTGTTGATCATTGTGCCAGGAGCTGGGAGCTAGAAAACCAAGAAATGGCACGGGGAGTCCCCATCCTCAGGGACCTCTGTGTGACCTTTCACACCCACTTCCCAAGTGCTCTTGTGATAAATAACAGGAGAGACTCCAGGACATTCAAAATAGCAGGCACTCACCACCTGGGCACTGACATTTACATATACCGGCCCACCTGACCCTCAGGACAGGGTGGCTTCGCTTGTCTGCACAGAATGCTGCAGGAGCAGAGCGGAGAGACAGTCAAGGTGAAAGAGAATGTAACCAGGGAAGGCTTCCTGCAGGAGGTGCCTGTGCCACTTCCAGGGCACCTTGGGAAGGCAGGCTGGAGGAAGTGGCTTGGGAGGAGGTAGGAATGAGGAGGTGCCCCAGGCAGAGGGAAGCAGGAGGGAGCTGGGATGCTCTGGGGCAGGGGTGAGGAGAGACAGGAGACCGGAGAGGCTGAAGCCTGTTGAGGCTTCTCCCTAGACAATGGGTTGGAATCCCCACTGCTCCTTCCATATGTATTTCCCAGGTGTGCCTGTGAGGCCGGGCAGCTGTTGGAAATCGCCTGGGGACACAGGGGTCACCTGTGGAAGAGGAAGAGGCTCCTGGTCTTGCTCACTGCTCCCCCAAAGGACTCTCTTGCTTCCCTGGCATGAGTATTCTCTCGTAGCTGCAGGGGCTGCACTTTGAGCTCTCGGACCAAAGACTTGGGAGCCCTGGGGCTCTGGTCCCAGGTCGGCCTCGAACGACCTGGGTCCTCCCAGTCCGGGCCCTCAGTGCAGGTCCCATGTGTCATGACTGCCCAGTTATCAGCAAGGACAGGGACTGTGGCTACTCCTTCTCTCACCGCCCCGGCATGCCAGTACAATATAGGCACTTGAGAGAAAGAACGTGACCACACAGAAAGCACGTCTGCGACGTGTCTTGCTGGCCCCAGCGACACAGTGGTGAGCCACGGACCCGGTCCCGAGCCCACGTCTTGTGGGGGAGGCAGGCATCCATCAAGCCATCACTTGACAGAGGTAAACCTGCAGGGAGGGACCTGGCCGAGAAGAGTCAGGGGTCGAGGAGGACTCCCCTGAGGAAGGAACTTTTGAATTGCGGGTGACCCTGTCTTTTGGGAGAAGAATCACTATTCTGATTATGGGCTTTGGGCCCAGTTCACCTGGGACTGATCTGTTCATGCCCAGATCTGTGACTCCCACCTCCGCCTGTGGAACTGGGTGAGGTCATCCAGCTCCCTGGTTCCCCAGTTAGGGGATCTGATGCCAGGGAGAGCTCTGCCAGACATCTCCCTAGCTGCCCACAGAAGGCAGCTCCAGCTTTTGCTCACTCCTTTCTGTGTGAGCCTCTTGGGTGAGAGAAAATGGGCAGGAGCTGACTTGGGGAGAATGACTAAGAAGGTTCCAGAAGGCAGGCAGCAGCCCCAGCTTCCCCTGCTTACCTTCCCGCCAGCAGGCTTGCTGGACCTCCAGCCTCTCCCTCAGCCTCTCCCCGCCGTCCCCCTGGCTCTCCCTGATTCTCTTCCTCTGTTTCCTCTCGTGCTTCACACGGCAGGTGATATGCAGACCCTTTGCGTACATTAGGTCTAATCTCTGGCCACCCTCTATGGGAGGTACTGTTACTGTGCCCATTGTATAGATGTGGAAACTGAGACTCGAAGTACCTTGCTGAGGAGCATCCAGCTGGCAGAGAAGCCCAGAACCCAGCCCGCCCCCAACCTCCACCCTTACCCCATGACCGCCCCCTTTCCCACTTTCCCACAGCTTAGATTCTCCAATCCTCAAACTCAAAAGTCTGTCTTCCCAGGAGGTGCTCCCGGAGGAATTCAAGTGTCAAGGGGGAAAGGGCAGATAAAGACCACATTCACCCCTGGAATGGGGGCTAGACAGACGGAAGACTGGGGCCCACAGTCAGAGAGGCCACATGGTGGTCCCACTCAGAGTGAGCAGGAAGACCAGAGGCCAGAGAGGAGAGGCCACACAGCCCACGTGCAAAACTTGCCCCCAGCCCACTCCAGACTCCCCGCCTGGGTCTCTACACTGCTCGGTTCCTGGGGCTGGGGCTTCTTTGGGACCCACCCTTGGCTGGTAATGAGGACAAGAAGGTGATTAAGACATATCCTGTTCTGGGGGCACCTGGGTGGCTCAGTGGGTTGAGCGTCCGACTCTTGGTGTGGGGCTCAGGTCACGATCTCGTGGTTCACAGATTCGAGCCCCACGTCAGGCTCTGTGCTGACATGGCAGAGCCTGCTTGGGATTCTCTCTCTCCCTCTCTTGCCCTTCCCCTGCTTGAGCTCTCATGTGCTGTCAAAATAAATAAACTAAAAAAAAAAAAAAAAGACACATCGTGTCCTGGTGGGTTTCCTGGCATGGTGGGGGAGATGGGCACCCCACCACAGAATTATAAAACTAAGAAGGCACCTGGAGGAAAGCACCAGAATTCAGACTAACAGGCAAGATGGAGTGCCATCAGGGAAGGCTTCCTGGATGAGGAAACCTCTTTTTCTTTTTTAATGTTTATTTTCAGAGAGAGAGAGAGAGCACTAGAGCAGGGGAGGGGCAGAGAGAGAGGGAGAGAAAGAATCTGTCAGCACAGAGCCCTACACTGGGCTCCATCTCAGGAACCTGAGATCTTGACCTGAGCTGAAATCACGAGACAGATGCTCAACCAAGTAACCAAGGTGCCCCAGTGAGGAAACCTCCTAACTGAGCGAGAAAGCGTAAGTGGGAATGCACTCAGCCAAGGCCTGTATTTGGGACAGGTTGGGGGCAAATGGTGCCACACGGGCCTGGCACGCTGAACAACAAGGTAGATGGAGGAGAGGCGGCAGGCCAGACCCTGCGGAGGGGGGGGGGCCAGGTAGAGTCATCAGGGGGAGCCCGGGTGGAGGCTCCGCTGAGCACTCCTGGCAGGAGGCCAAGGTCCAGGCCTGGAGGCCGCTGCCACCTCTCAGATTCTGTCCTGGCCTCTGAGCTTGGGCAGGGCTCAGGCACCCAGGGCCTGCCAGAGAGGGGTGAGCCTGCAAACCCAGGGGAAGGGAGGGAACCTCCCTCAGGTGTTTTGTGTCCGCAACAGGCAAACCTAGTTGCTTGCTTCTCCTTCCTCCTGCCGGGCCCCGTCCTCTCTCTCTCTCTCTCTCCCTCCCCTGTCGCTGGATGCCTATTGGGGCTGGAGCTCTGTTCCCTGCTCTTCCTCTCCCCGTCCTTCCCCCCAGCAGGCATCTGGCCCCACAAATGCTGCTGGGAAGGACCGTGTGGTCCAAAGCCTGGAAACCGTTCCAGAGGTTAGGAGTAGGGAGTCTAGGTCCATCCAGATCTGGACTGGATATAAATGTTAGCCCTTCCTCTCACAAGCTGTGTGGCCCAGGGTAAGTAGTTCAACCTCTCTGGCTCTCAGCTTCCGAATAAATGAACAATCGGACACGAACGAAGGAAAACACCTAGAACCTGCAGAGCACCGGGTCCTGCCGGGGACGCCCCCGGGGCGCCGGCAGCGGGGACGGGCGGGCGGCGGGGTGGGGGCCACGAGCGCGGAGGCGAGGCGGTGGGACCCGGGCCTCTCGTCTGCCTTCTCCCAGGGGGGCGGGGCCTTCGGGCAGCTGGGAGTTTCCGGGCACCGGCCGCGCGCCCCGCTCCGGTTTTCGGGGAGGAGGGGGGAGCAGAGGGAAACCGAGTCGGCGGGGCGGGGGGCGACCCGCCCCGCAGGAGCGCGGCTCCTTTTG